TCCCGGTATTCGAGATCACGTAATCCCGGTATTGTAAACCCTAACCATAACATAACAGTACTACATGTTGGATTATTCTAATTTAATTTTTTATTATTTAAGATATCCAAAATTGCATCTTAAACTCCTCCTAATTTATATCGTAACGGCCGAATTGTATGTATTCATCTTTACTTTCTCATTTGTTGTCTTAAAGTGAAATTTTTAACGTATTTTAAAAATATTGTGCAAAGATTAGTAAAATATGCACATAAATTATATATTTCTGAAACGATATTTGATATACTACCTTACAATTTTCATATCCGAATCTTGTGTTGGCGCCCCCTTAGATTGGCGCTCCTATTTTTCTCATGCGTCGTATTCAATGTAGGAGCGAAGCGGCCCTGATTATTACTTAATTTTATTTTTTAAGTGAATTAATTTGTCAAATCGGTTGGTTTTGTGTTTTTTCTTATCTCGGTATTTTTGATTTTATCTAACTTTCTGATATGCAACATGTTCCTCTCTAGCCCCCTTTGACAGGTTCTAATTTTATTTATGGTTTTAGATGAAAACTTTCGCGTCTGGCAGCCATACGTAGGACATGGTAGCAGGCTAGAGTTCAACACATTTGTTTTGATATCTATCGGCATATTGATTTTGAAGATTTCTTTTAATTTCCAATATTTTTTCTAAGTTGATTGTATTCTTCTTTCTACTTCATGGTTTTCCCAATTATATGTAATTATCGACGTAATTAATTGGTTTGTTATGGACTAGTATTGGAAATTTCCGTCTGTTGTTTGGTAATGTTTTAGTTTTGGTTAAATTCATCTCCTGGCCAACCTGGACGCTGGCTTGATGCAGAGACTCTAACATGAATTGCATTCTGATTCTGATAAATGCACAATGTCGTCCGCAAATCTAATATGGCTTAGATGTTTGCATTTTATATAGATGCCTAATTTACGCCAATCCAGCTTTCCGAAAATGTTCTCCAGGATTGAATTAAATATTATTGGTGAGAGCGGATCCCCCTGCCTTATGGGAAAACTTGGGCCGATAGACTCTAGTTTGATCCTTTATTTGATGTTATTATATATACTTTATATATATATATATATATATATATATATATATATATATATATATATATATATATTGATGAGTTATTTAGAATCGGGCAGTAAAACTTAAGTAGTTTTGAAATACTTTATTTATCCATACGTTTTAGTCTTCATCGAGACCGTCATTCAGTGGAACTAAAAGATTTTATATGATGTAGGAGGAAAATAATATAAAGTTATTGAACTTATATTTAAGTACTTACAGAAATTAATTATACAAAAATACACTATACTATTACGCTGTGATAAATCAAGCTATTAATAATTGGAACATTTAAACTAATTATTTTTTTGACAATTTTTGGTTACATTCTACTGTGTACAAATTGACTAACGTCTAAATATTGAATGAATTGTGTTTACAAATTTTGCGAAAGTGTACAAAGACCGACAAACATATGTTTTTTGTAAAATAATATAATAATAAAAATACACGCTTCATTCAGATAAGGTGGCGTTTTTCAAAATGGTCGAGGATTATTTTATAGTCATTGCAAAGCGAATTGTTGTCAGTTCTTAAATTTATGGCTGTATCCTTGTGTAAAGATATTAAGCATCCTTCGCTAAATCGTCTTTTAAATAAATTATTTTCGAAATGTAGGATCGTGGGATTAGAAAAATCAATGTTATGTTTGAGCTGATTAATGAGATCCGTTAATTGTGTTTTATTCTATTTCTTATTTTTAGAGTTTTTTTTGTGTTGTGATGTTCTTTTGTGCAAGTTTTGGTTTCATCTATGTAGACGCAATTACAATTCAGGCAATTAAGCTTATAAACTAGATTACTTAGGATTCTTGGGTTAAATTTCGATTTTAATTTTGTAAAAAGAGTTGAAAAAGTGTTTTCGGAGGTACAAACTACTCTAATATTATTTTTACTGAAACTTATAGTTCGAATGTAGTTTTCAAGGTTTGGATTATCAATTGAATTATTGTGACGGTTTTGGAGATATAGGATTCTATTTTTTGTTATGGATTGGATGAGGTGTTGTGGGTAGGAGTTTTTGGTTAGGATTTGTGAAATGAGAGAGATTCTTTCTTAAAAATTTACTGTGTGATAATAATAATGCGTGGTCTATTATGTTTATGATTGTGCCTATTTTGATAGAGAGGGGGTGGTAAGAATGGTAATTAAGATAACGGCCTGAGTATGTTGGTTTGTGATACCAATCAGTTATTATATTATTGTTTTCGCGAAAGAGTTGGACATCTAAGAAACTGATAAATTTATTATTTTCTAATTCAGAAGTGAATTGTAGGTGTTGGTTGTAGGCATTAAAATAATTTACCAGAGTTGTTGTGTCACTGTTTGGGATGCATGTTATGATGTCATCAACATATCGGTAGTAAAAAACTTGTTTGTTGTAGGAATTTAAAATTGTGGATTCTATGTGTTGAAGGGCTATTTCAGCTAAAGGTGGGGAGGCTGGAGATCCCATTGGCGTACCAAATGTTTGGAAATAGAATTTACTATCGAACTCAAAATATGTGATGGAAATTAAAAATTTTATTGTTTCTCGAAACCAGTGTAGGCAAATTGTGGTATGGAAAGATATATCGTGCCATTTTTTAGTTATGGCTTCAAGGATAAGGTTTAATGGAACGTTTGTAAACAATGATACTACGTCTAAACAAATTAAAACGTTATCATTTGGAACTGTAATTTGTTTAAGTTTTTCGACAAACTTGAAAGAATTTTTTTATGTGAAATGGGGATTGTTTGGTGATAGGAGTTATGGAATTGTTTATATATCTTGATAATTTATAAAGTGGTGAGTTAATGTCTGATACAATAGGACGGAAAGGTAAGTCAGGTTTATGGATTTTGGGAAGACAGTATAATCTTAGTTAACCGTAGTTGCCACAAGTTTTTAAAAGTAATTTTTTCTCAAATTTATAGTTTCTTAAAAATCTAATTTTTTCGAAGTAAAATTTTTTCAAAAATGTTAATCGTTTTTAAAAAAATAATAATTTTTGGTACGGAAAGTTCCAGCAATTTGCCTTAAGGCACGATGCCTTAATTGCCTTAAGACAGAATTCCACTTACAGCTAGTTTTTTTTTTCTCAACCCCTTGCTCTAGCAAGCTTTTCCATATGCTGATGAGTGAAACGGAGTCGAAAACTTTCTGATAGTCTATGAAAGCTAAATATAATGTTCTCTGTTGTTCCTGGTATTCTTCTATGCTTGTTCCACGGGTTGTTTCATTTATAGTGTTGTACTTATTCTTTTGTTAATAATTGTAGAGAATAGTTTGTACAGGCTAGGTAGTAGGCTAATAGGTTTTTAGTTGCCAATATTTTTGTGATCTCGTTTTTATATATTAGTATGATGTTTGCTTCGGACAACTTAGAAGGCGTTTATAGTTTATAGTACTTAAACAGTTTTTTTAATTTTAATATGCGTTCATATGTTGATAGAGTATGGCAATTTTTATTGTTGTTCTTGTTGCTTAGTGTTATAGTTTTTTTTGCAGGGTTGTGGTCATAATCCTCCACGGTGACCAACCGGGTTGGAGGATCTGTTATGTTAAGTTTCATTGAATAGTTGTTTGTTGGGTTTATATGGAGAGGAGCAACTGTTCGCTATGTATTGCTTTTTGTACTTTCTTGGCGCTGTGTTGTGTTTTTTTGTTAGGAAATTTAGCATGCTCGGTTAGATTACTCCTTTCGGGAATGCTGTTAGATCTTTTTAGCGCTATCTCTTGATGTCGTGGCTTATTTTTGTTTGTTTTATGTAATTCTTCCTTTATACATATCCTCTGTATGTTTTAATGGCCAGGCAGTAAACTTTTTTTTGGACGTTTGTTTAGATATGACTAGTTTATCATATTTTAGGAAAGCCATGTTACCATTTTCTCTCTTTATTCGCAGCTGGTCTTATGATTGTCTTCTTTTTTCTAAGATCTGTTTAACGGAATCTTCTTTCATATAGTAGCACGTGTCGCGCAGTGCTTCTTTCTGTTTGAAGATTTTTATCTTTGTACTAAGTTTTGAGAAAGATACCAGAGTTGGTTGTGGATTATCGCAGTTTAGCCTAGCCTTCTAACCACTTGTATATCGGCATCTACTAATTCGATTGAAAAGTGTAGATCTAATCAATTGAACATATATTTTTCTAAGGCGTCGTATGAAAATTCCAGTTCATCAACGTAGTAGATTCTCTTTTCTTTGCTTTAGTTTCACATGTTTCTCTTACAAAGCAAGAAATTTTTCCTCTGTTGATGTTTTGTGTGACCTGTTCTGTAACATTCAATATACTGTTAAAAATCTCTTTTTTCTGGTCGTCAAGTTCCAGCAATTTTTTTAAGAGTTTTCATAATATCATCCATGATTCTTTTGGAATTAATGTTATAGTTTGTTTTTTGTAAGTTACACCCTCTAGTGGCAGCGATGCTCTGTCACTGATACCATGTTTACACAAACAGCAGCAATTCCGCATTGACTCACACGATGGTCGTACGCACTTGGGCTGCTCCCTCGCCATATATATACAGTATCTTATATTATTTTAGTTTCTAACACACCTTAGCTGCTTTTTTAGCAATAATAACGTAGACATTTCATTTTTCTTATTCATAATCATGAATTTATTATACATATTCTAATATTGTGTAGGCTCATAAATTACAATTTCTGGCGGATGGCAGTATTTATTAATTTTTAACTCCAAACAATATCACAAATATTTCCAATGTCAAACAATGACATGTTATTATTTTTTTCCGTTCATTTTTATAATATCAATATATTGTTATAATCTTAACAAACTTCAGAAAGATTTATCAAAATCCGAATAATCGTTTTGAAGGAGTATATTTACATACATCGATACAGAAGAATTTTATATATAAGATACACATGATTAGTCTAATTAAAAAAAAATCTTTTTCAGGGAAAATGGTCATTTTTTTATGCAAACATACTCCTTTGATTTCTTCAATTATGCCGGCATCCATAGGCCTGTCATTCTGTATTCTACACCGCGAATCTATATATCGGATATTACTGTTGAAACAGATTATAATGGTGATATTGGTAAGTGTATTTTTAGTAATGGGTGGTTTGATAATGATATTGTAGATATTTAATGTAATTTAGTTGTTAGAGTCAATTGATGTCAATAAATATGCACGCAAAAGGTAAATAGAGCAGTTTTGTCAAAGAAAGCAACCCTAGTAGAAATGAATCGTGGCGCAATATTGTACTTTATATGGGCTCTATATTGTTTACCAATATTGCTATAATATTATTCTGTTAACATTTTCCCATATAAATCCAATATTAAAACCAATATAGGCCCTATATAAAACCAATATTGATAAACAATATTAAAATCCCATTCAAAACTGCTATAAGCCCAATATTGAAAACCAATATAAGATTAATATAAATAAACAATATTTACCCTGCATAAAAAACCAATATAAGCTCAATATAAATAAACAATATTTACCCCAAATTCAAAATTATTATTTAACCCACATTTAAAAATATTATTTAATTTATATAGAAAAACAGTATTTAACTCATTGATATAAGAGTTTATTTATTCTAAATGAATACATACATTTTTAAATAGTTTATGTATTGAATTTTAATAATTTTATTAACAATTTACACATTATTTTATGATAAATATTTTCAGCCATTATAATAATTTGGAGGATCTTAATGGTAAATCATAATCTCATCTTTGTTAATCCTATCGCCTTAATTGTCTATTTATAAGTATTTTAATTAGTGATGGAAATTCTTATATTATTTGGATATTTTCACACATGTTTTAACATTTTCTTGCAATCGATCACGATTACACCTGAAATAAGATAAAATATATTATTTTTTATCGCAATATTTCTGGAATATATTGATTTTATAAACTCATAATAAATTCAATTACTTAGCTTTTAATAAAAAAGCATTTCTGGCATTATAGTTTATTAAAAACTCATATTTTCTAGAACTCGATCACAGTTAAATCTGAAATAATTAAAAATACAGTGAATATAAATATTTAACATTAATTTAAAACAGTACAATTATAATTTTAAATTAAAACAAAAAACTGTTGATGGAAATACGAATATCAAATATTCAAAAGCGATAATAAATTATTGAAAAGTCTGCATTTAATAAGTTTGTTAATATTTTTATTACCTTTTATCAAATCCATTTTTGCTATGTGATAGTTTTTATATTACAGCTGATTTTACATCCATTTCTATTTAGTCAATCTAGAATATATAAAACACATCATTGTTTACTAAATATGTATGTTGATTTATATAATATAAGTAATAAATATACTTACGTACTTTAACCATAAAACTCAAAATTGTGTTATTTAACAGCTTGATTTTAACTTAATATTTATTCAAAATTCACATACTAAGTTTTTTCCAGACTTACTATATATTATGAATATTTTTTAATATTATAATAAATTCTAAATTCAACAAGAATTGCTAAGCGCACTGCATAACAAATTTCATTCTACTGAAAAATTGCGAGACTCCGCTTGGCTTGTGTTTTGTTTGATGGTGTAGGTGTAGCATTGTTAATCAAAGGGTGGTTCTAACAGGTTTTTATGTTTTTGTATTTTATGTTACGAAGTATACGCTCATTAATTTGTCGTTATAGTAGTCATTAAAGTTTATATATATATATATATATATATATATATATATATATATCTCCTTTTTCATTCATTTCAATATGAGGTAATTAGTAAATTACATAATCTATGAAACGTTACTTAGAAAATATTCAAAACGAAATTAATAAAAACGCCATTAATTATTATTATATCAAATATGTTTATATTTATAAAATTTTAAATATTTAGATTTATTATTGATTTTTTTTCTAAATTATATCAAATAAATTTTATCTTCACTAAACAAAATTAATATTTCACTTATTTTGTTCTACGTTTTGGGCTTATGGATTCTTTCCTTCTGTAAGAACTAACCAACAAACATTTTTTATAATCAAACTCTTTTCTATGTACACAATAATAAATTTTAAAAAATCTCCTTTTACCTTTAAGTTAATTTTTTAATTAAACTTTTACTCTTAAATAACATTAATATAAATAATAAACTAGTATAGTAATATAAATAATAATTGCTATTAAGAAAATGTAAGAATATGTAATTAAAACAAAAGTGCTATGACATAATATTAGTTCATAAAATACGTATAAAATAACTTCGGCCACAACTGACACAGTCAGGTAGAATATTTCTTCGTAGGGACAAACGCATAGGACAAAGGACACACATCGTACACGAAGCGAGATACTCTTATACAAATATCGGTTATATGAAAGAAAGAAGACACTCTTGAGAAGTTTCTCAAAAACAGATGTTCGTACATATATATGGTATGGTTTATACATACATGTATATAATGCAATTTCAGAAATTTTTATTCTATGAATAAATATAAAACTCGATATATATTAGTAGATATAACAGATTTAAATAATATTAATATTATTTTGTTTACATTTTTTGCTCGGTTACTCACATTATTTAAATTTAATATATATATTCTGATACTTTTGCACTATTATAATCTTGTATAATTTTGTTTTTGTTTTGTTTATTGAATGATGGCCATACTTACAATATCGTTAAATAATATAGTTAATAAATAAATACAATATAGTTAAATTATTTATTGCTTTTTTAACTTCCCGTAGGGTAGTTATAGTAATGAGACAAAAATCGAAAATGAATTTTTTCGCATATATTCACGTTTAATAATGGATTTAATTAATTTAGCTATTAATTAATTAATTCTGATCAAAAATATGTAGAGTTAAGAGTCACCATAGATGTTTTTGGCGCTAATTGATGATTTAAAATTGATTATTTTCTTGACCAATGTAAATGTTACTTATTTCCCAATGTAAATGTTCGATAATAAAGAAAAAATAAATGTGAATATAATATTTACAATTTATATTGAATTCATATAAAATTTATATCAAACTATTAATTACGATCGAGCTGATCGAGCTATTACCTAAGATATTATCAATGAGTTAAATTCTGTTTTCTATATGAATTAAATAATATTTTTAAATATGGGTTAAAATAATAATTTTGAATTTGGGGTAAATATTGTTTATATATATATATTAATCTTATATTGGTTTTCAATATAATTTCAGAAAAAAATGTATCACCCCCACATTTAAAATTCATATTGAATTTATAACAAAAATGTATCAAACTATTAATTGCAATCGAGCATATGACTTTTTAAAAACTTTAATCAAGATTTTGGTGCTAATTAATTATTTAAAGTTGATTTTTTTCGTAACCCTTATGAAGACCACATATTTCCCAAGTTCGATAATACTGAAGAAACGAATCGTGGTTGCCCAGAAAAAAAGCATAACCCCCACATTTAAAAATGATATTGAATTTATAAGAAAAATGTATCAAACTATTAATTGCGATCGAGCATATGACTTTTTAAAAGCTTTAATCATGATTTTGGTGCTAATTAATTATTTAAAATTAATTTTTTTCGTAACCTTTATAAAGACCACATATTTCCCAAGTTCGATAAAACTGAAGAAACGAATCGTGGTTGCCCAGAAAAAAAAGCATAACCCCCACATTTAAAATTTATATTGAATTTATAAGAAAAATGTATCAAACTTGTAATTGCGATCGAGCATATGACTTTTTAAAAGCTTTAATCATGATTTTGGTGCTAATTATTTATCTAAAGTTAATTTTTTTCGTAACCTTTATAAAGACCACATATTTCCCAAGTTCGATAATACTGAAGAAACGAATCATGGTTGCCCAGAAAAAAAATGCATAACCCCCACATTTAAAATTTATATTGAATTTATAAGAAAAATGTATCAAACTTGTAATTGCGATCGAGGATATGACTTTTTAAAAGCTTTAATCATGACTTTGGTGCTAATTAATTATCTAAAATTAATTTTTTTCGTGACCTTTATAAAGACCACATATTTCCCAAGTTCGATAATACTGAAGAAACGAATCGTGGTTGCCCAGAAAAAACATGCATAACCCCCACATTTGAAATTTATATTGAATTTATAAGAAAAATGTATCAAACTTGTAATTGCGATCCAGGATATGACTTTTTAAAAGCTTTAATCATGACTTTGGTGCTAATTAATTATCTAAAATTATTTTTTTTCGTGACCTTTATAAAGACCACATATTTCCCAAGTTCGATAATACTGAAGAAACGAATCGTGGTTGCCCAGAAAAAAAAGCATAACCCCCACATTTAAAATTTATATTGAATTTATAAGAAAAATGTATCAAACTAGCAATTGCGATCGAGCATATGACTTTTTAAAAGCTTTAATCATGCTTTTTGCGCTAATTAATTATCTAAAGTTAATTTTTTTCGTGACACTTATAAATACCACATATTTCCCAAGTTCGATAATACTGAAGAAACGAATCGTGGTTGCCCAGAAAAAAAATGCATAACCCCCACATTTAAAATTTATATTGAATTTATAAGAAAAATGTATCAAACTAGCAATTGCGATCGAGCATATGACTTTTTAAAAGCTTTAATCATGATTTTTGTGCTAATTAATTATCTAAAGTTATTTTTTTTCGTGATCCTTATAAATACCACATATTTCCCAAGTTCGATAATACTGAAGAAATAATTCTTGTTCGGCCACAAAAAACTTGGATTTCGCCCACATTTAAAAATTATGTATAATTCGTGTAAATATAAAATTAGAGGCGTAAATCAGATGGAAAACATGTTTATTATTTGTAATAAACCATATAAAACACTTTTCCGATGAATTTTCCAAATTTTCCATAATTTTGAAAACAAATATTGTCCGGTCCATTTAAAGACAAGATTCGAATATTGCGCCACGATATTTTACCCCTCTAGCCACGATACATTTCTACTAGGAAATATTTTTGAAACTTGTTATTGCAAATTTTTCAAATTAGAAATTTAGAGATTTTCAAAATGGCAAAATGCATGTAATGTAATGCAAT